GACATACATCTTGATCAAGAAGTCTGAAAAAACTAACACCAGATGTAAACTGGACCATCCAAGATGCACAAGCAACTGGCTTGACAAATGCAACAAAAAGAGAATTTCAGGATCTCATCTGGACCCAGCCCCTATTAATGATAACTACATCTACATTTACACCAGTAAAGTAGCAACAGGACCAAACAACATGCAGAAAACAAACCTATTAAAGATGCATGGCTTTTTAAAGGTACCTTCACTTTTCCCTAGTTCAGAGACCCTAATGTAGGCAGAGTGAGCCCCCTGGTGGTCTGTCAGGATATGACAAAACTGCAGCATTGAAATGTGAAGGCTTAGCCAATGCTGTTAAGTTACCGGATATACCAAAGGCCAGTACATCATGAAAGATGGTCCTGTTCAGGTAGAAAAACACTGGGCGCACTCCTCTGCCAATGCCTCTACTATTGCACTTACAGCATTTTCCACACTGTAGACACTCAATAGCTAAGGCCCTGACCACCCACACCTATCAACCTGCACCCATGAGCACAAGGAGGTGAAATGACTGGAGACCACATGGGTGTAGGACTGACTTGCAGAGCCAACTGCTTTGACTGATCTCAGATGCACAAGAACTGGACAAGTGAACAAGACCTATGGAAACAGGACGAGCTCCTCAAACACTCAAAGCATCAGCCAGAGGGATGGAGAGCCAGCGATGTCACAGGGGTCTTTAGCTGGGTTGTGGTGGGGAAACAGTGACCTCATGAAGGCCCCGATATCAAATGTGCATGCGAGGGATGCAGAGCTGAGCTCAGCAACTGCCATGCCTTTTCTCTAGACAGTTACACTCTCAGAAACAATTATTTCACCAAAGCACCCCAGAGGAAAACTAGGAGCAACGGTCATAAACTCTTAGGTTTCAGACTGGATATATGGAAAAACTTGTCCACGGTTCACTTGACCAGCCTCTGGAACAGACTCCCAGCAGGGGTGGTGCAGGCATCTACCCTGGAGATCTCCAAAAGGAGACTGGACGCACACCTTGTTGGGGTTATTTGACTCCAGCAGTCTTTCCTGCCCAGAGCAGGGGTTGGGGGGGACACCCAATGGTCTCACAAGGTCCTTTACAGCCCTAAACTTGTGAGTCTCTGAATCTGTGAATATGGGGCTGCTCTTTAGCTCTAGCTGTAGGAGCCTCTCACAAAGAGCCAGGAAAACCCAATTTTCCCATTGTCCCAAATGACAACTGCCTTAATGTTTTTGGCCAACCCAAAATGTGAAGGAAAGATCCCTCCGAGCATATCAAACAGTTGGTTCAACCTGAACTGAAAGCTTCCATTGAGTTCTGAAGAAGTTCACTGTTTGCAAAAAAATAAATAAATAAATACAAAAAAAATAAATTGAGGGAATGCAAGTCTTTTTTTTTTTTTTTTTTTTTTTAAGAAAAAAAAGAAAGGATTTCAATTTTATCAAGACAAAGCCCTTAGAAATTGTGGGTGTTCCATCTGTGATTTTGAGGGTATTTTTGGATTTTGTTTCTTTTGGGCAAACTATTTGCCCAAATCTAAAAGAAACCATGACATGTTTTGGTGTTGGTGAATATTCAGGTTTCCCCTTTCAAAAAAGGCTTTGGCCATTGCATTTCACATAGTTTTATTCGAAAGGAAGTTGGGCTGGAACAATGTCCAGAAGCTCTCCCATTGGTGACAGAAGCCATCCTTTGAGGTGCCTCTGGGCTCATTGGCTGCACATAGGATTATCCAAGCTGTTAGGGTGGAGATTCAGGACCTTGTCTGGTCAACCAGAAGTAGGCTTTTCCAGTGACTCACTGGTATTGCTCTGTCCCAAGTAATACACTAATGCAATGATTCTTAAGCAGGATGCAGCAGCACCCTGGGGCACTGTGAAATCCTTTTAAGGGTGCTGGGTTTTGTACGATATTAGTACTGATAAGTGTGCAAATTCCTACTGTTAGGGTAACAATATGGATTTTGCGGAGCACTGAGTGTGCAACTAAATGAAGGCTTTTTCCAGTGTCTCAGAGAAAGCTGCTGGTCACAAGGCTGGATGATATATTAGAAGTAACTAACTTTGCTAACGCTCAAGTGGATTCCTAACAAAAGGATAGGGTGCAAAGTGCATGACGTGGTATGTAAAAATAGGATGCAGACCAATGGCTATCATTGGGGGCAAAGCAGAAGCAAGGCCTTGGAAGTGTTGCTGAAGTCAAAGAACCAGAAAGAACCAATGATTGACCAAAAGTACCCAAGTTCACAGCCTTACGCATGCGCTTAGCAGACATATAAATGAAGGAAATGCATAGGCAATTCTATGCTAATGAAGTAGACCGTAAACCGAGGCAGAGCTTGCAATGGGAGGAAAAATGGGTGGAACAGGAGGAAGGGCAAAAGGTGGAGTGAATGTTAATGAACCTGAACTAAAGTGTATAAAAATGTCAGAAAGAAGTATTGTTCACTGCGGCTCCCCGGTCTGCTGGTTTTTTGGGAGCTAGTCCGAAGCCGTCTCCATTCTGGATAAAGCTGTTGCGAACAATGTGTGCTGGTATTTGCTCCCTGCTTGCTCTGGCTAATGAGTAACAGGATCCTTGGACAATTGGATCATCGTCTCCCTAGTTCTTAGACGCTGCATGGAGTAGGTGTTAGACCCCAACATGCAACTCATACAATAAGCCTGGAGATTTCAAATAGGAATCCAGTGTCAAAAGCAACCTGACCTGTTTTGTCTCCGAGTTCTTTGCAACAGAAGAATTGCTCCATTATTTTTCTGTGGTTAAAAACTGAGCAAAAGCTAGGAACTGGATGCCTTGCATCAAGCCAGGTTGAAAACCACTACTGTAAAGCAATATCTTCCTACGCAGGGCATGGCCACTTCTTGCTGTTGTATCTTGTATCATGTTTACCATATTTTCTTGCATACAACATGCCTCAGAATAATACACACCTCATTATTAAGAGGACAGAAATAATACGAAAAAAAGTTTCCAGAATTATGACTGCATAATGCAGGGACACAGCTTAGTCTTCCACTGACTCCCCTCCCTTTCCTGCTTAAGTAAATAGCTGAAGCCCTAAGCTGCTGCTGAATACACACCCCACAATTTGGTGGGAGAGGTGGATTTTGGGGAAGAGATGCATGTTATATGTGAGAAAATATGGTATATTGTATTTTATGTATTTCACGCATGGTAACTATTCCTACTTGCATCATGTAATATGATATAAATGAAGGTTGAAATAAGATATTCCAGCTATTAAGGGAAACTGGTACTCAGAATTGATTAAAGAACCTTACTTTATTTTGAAGATCAAGGTGTTTCCTTTTTGCTGCAACAGAACAGGCTGACACTTTGGGCAGAATCCTACTTCACCTAATGGATGACTGAAGCACAGCTGGAGACCAACTGAGTTACTCAACTGAAGTGTAGGGACCATAGTGGGTGCAAGTGCACCCAGAGACATGCAATCATCTTCCTATTCATATGAGGGCTCTTATGCACCCAGAGTAGGTATCAGAATGTGTCCTACACTTGAGCTGGGTAACTTGGAATTGGTCACAAGCTACATTTTTGGTTGGCCACAAGGTTAGATGGAATATTGCCCTTTACATCAGAGTCAAATACATCAATTATGTTAAGTCATATAAAACACGTCAGAGAGAGAGAGAGAGAGAGAGAGAGAGAGAGAGAGAGAGAGAGAGAGAGAGAGAGAGAGAGATTTATAACATACAGATTAAAAAGACCAAAAAAATAAAGTTTGAAATTAAATTTTGAAACTCCCAGAACTTTCCCAAACTAAAATTCAGTCATACTATCCTTTCTGGTAAACGCGGAATTAAGGTTTGACCAGTCTGAGAAGCAACTGGCTGAGCTACCTTGGGTCACAATGCTCCAGTAGCTATAACCCAAGAGGCACTGTGGAAGAATTTGGCTTATCCTGGCTCTGGGATTTTTCAGTGGTCAGCAACATCAACAGGGCTTTTCCTTGAACATTCCTTGAGATTGCAGAATGGATTTGTCTTTAGCACTTACACACATTGCATATAGTTGCACAATATCCGTCTATCTTTCCTGAACTATAAAACATAAGTATGAGAATCCCTTTTGCTATCATCTTTTCAGAGCAAGCAAACGATCAATAACAAATCCATTTATTCAATTGAAGTTTGCTGCCTTCTGAGAAGAGCAAGTGTGGGTGCCCATTAAGAAACACACCCTAAATCCAACCCCAGCCCACCTATGAAGAACAAACAGAACAGAGCTCCAAGCCCCTTACTACACCCCCTTCCCCACAATAAGAGTTCCTACCCCCTACAATAAACCTTAAACCTTGCTCAAGTACCCCTATTGAGTCTTCCTAGAATTTAGACACAGGCCCCTTAATAAAACCATCCCTTCCTCCTATCAAGCACCAGGCTACCTACCCACAATACAACTAAAATACCTCTAGGGACCTACCAGAGGCAAACTTGGATTCATTCCTTAAATCGAGCTGAGAGCCCAAACAGAACTATTACAGAAGTGTAGGAGAACTGGGGACTAGTTTACCTTCATCAAATGCCTGAGAAAAGTGGGGGTGGGGGGGCGTTAAAAATGAAATTAAAATATCACAAAAGAGATACCATATTAAAACAGAGGGAAGCTAGAAATAACACTGAAAAAAAAAACACAAAATGAAAAATAAAGATGACACGAACACACACAAAAACCCTTTAAAACCAAAGCTATCTGGAGAAAGATTGATTAAGCTAATTTTTCCTTTGGATATAGAGACAACCATTTGCCCAAGTTTGAGCTTACAATTTCTCTCTTCCCACAACCTACCCCTCCCCCGCCCCCGCAAATCATGAACCAAAAAATATGCATCAGTAAACATATTTGTTATGCACAGATAGTACCAATGTGGATCTTCACCTATCACTTTAAAAAAAAAAAAAAAAAAAGAGAGTACCAGTGACAGCGTGTATTATATAGACTTAGTAACATTTTTATCCATGTGTTAACACCTGCTTAAGCCTGAATAGACACATTATATCCTTTCTAAAAAGCACATTTACATGTTTTTTTAAAAAAGGAACAATACAGAGATAATATGACTTCACAATTTTAATTTTTTTTTTTTTTGAAGGTAACAGAAATGATCTATTTTGGACAAATAAATAAGTTGTAGGTCCACAGTATATAGGCAGTCGCATGGTTTTTTGTTTTTATTAGCCATGATTCATTTTCTTAATTTTCATAACATTTCTTTTATGAACTTATACTTTTTTCACATAAAAAACTTAGCGGAAAAAACCTCATATTTGCATACAGTGATGACCAGTTATTTCGTACACTCCTACGTCCATTCCAATGAATGGAGAACAACAGATAGTAATGCATCAAGGTGAGTACTTTCTCCTCTGGTTCATATCTAAACATGTCTAGGTTTTTACTTGCACATTCAACACAACACAAGCTTTCTTCATTACAATTTAGTTGCACTAAAGAAAAAATATATTTACTGTTTTTGAAAATTTAGTTTTAAGTCTTGTGTGGCAATATTGAATCTTATGAATACAATCAAACGCATTCTGAAAAAGTGTTAAATCAATCAATGTTTTTGCTGAGTTTTTTCCCCTGATAGACACTATATCCAGTTAAGTCTTATTACAAACAATCCAGGGCATGTGTTCCACTCATACATATTATTTAGAGAGTCTGGAACTCAAACTACTCCACCATGTAATCTAATATCCTAAATCAGAGAGTTGAAAAGCAGCATTAAAACTGAAAACACATAGGTTTTGAAAACACTTTGGGAAAACCATTATAGCAAATCTGTCAGAACAGGGCCTTGAATATTACATTAATTTCTAAGATATAAAATAAGTATGTGTAAAGAGCATTGCCCTACCAAGACTTTGAAACAACAGTCATTACAGTGTTCTCAAACAGCATACAAAGAGTGAAAAATTGACATAAGTGGAATGCTAAGTTTTAAAAAGCACATTATATCTACAACTGAAACTATACTTCATCAATGCAAATTTATAGAAAATATTCAGCTGAAAAGCTTATACTGAAAATATATTGGCAGATCTTCTTAAAAAATATTTTTATTATCAAAATTAGTTTATTTATTTTTACATATTGCACTATGTCTTCAGTGCAGACGCACCTTTTTTAGACCAACACATTCCCTTGGTGCTATTATGATTTATGTATCCAACAGATATTTTCAGTATCAGCCAACACTAGTAGTCAAAACAGTTAACATGATAATTTGCAAGATGGGGGGGTGGGAGGGAGGAAGGAAGAGGAGAAATAATATTCTTATTTCACAAATACTCAATGCAGAGGTGCATCATTGACAAAAAAAGTTAAAAGTAACTATTAAACACTTATATGCATGTGAACTATAATAAATGTTAATTAAACAACAAATCTCACAGCTCAAGTGGCAAGGTTATTTCATTTAAGCATTTATGTAATTTATAAATACTGCATTTTTCAGAACATCAGACTTCATTTTGAGAATAACCCACAAATACTGCAGCTATGCCTGAACATAGAGCATATCATCACACTTGACTTTTCAAAGGAAGCCGTGTTTTCCACACTTCTACACTATCATCTGAATCAGAATATTGCAATGTAGTCTGTTAAACTAAATTCCTCACCTGCCACAAGGTAAAACAACAGATATGTGGCAAATGAAAGCTAATGCTATGCTGTGCGGTGCTGTGCTCAGTTGTTCCCCTCCCATTGTGTGTGTCCAGCAGCCAAAGGGGAGCTTGGTGCAATTAAGAATTGCAAACAGCAGTGGAAAGACTGCTCCAAAAGGCACCACCAGCTCTAATAACTCCCATGGAGCCATTTGCTACTTGGGGAACCCGGTGTGCCACTGTGTATGATGTGTGAAAGCTGACAGAGCAGCCTTACCATCACCTGACGACCATCTGCACAAAGCAGGGAAGCAAGACTACCATCATGAGACTCAGGGTAACTTCACATAGTTTTCCTACAGTATACAAAGGTCATTTAATGGAATCAGGGCTGCTGGTAATGGCCGAATTGTGGACTTTTATTTAACCAATTTTGAAATCAAGTTATTCCTTCAGGTAATTCCAATGTCAAATACAAAGTGTCAAATGACTGTGCCCACTTCAGAAACAATGTGAACAATGAAGCAGGACAGCTAAAATTAAACTATGACTACCACTGTAACAGATACACAATAGCAGCATTTTGGTTCAGAAGAGAGAATAAAATCAGACCAGGTCTTTTTGTCACATCTTGCCTGATTTGTTCATAAAATCCTCATGCCATCATCTACTTTTAGGTCATATCCTTTTATACACTGAAAAGGTTAACTACTTCATCTTGTATGAAAATTACCCTTTTTCCTCTAGGCCTTCTCAAGATCGTTAAAAATGGTTGTATTTTTTCCAGACACAAACACTATACTGATCCCCGTCACTTATTTAATAATGCAATATGTACATTTCTTTGACAAAGACATTTTCGACGTAAGAAACCCTTCCAGACAGCTCTCTCTGAAGGAAAGCAGAACACATACTAATAAGATTCAGCTGGTATATCATTTCAAGTTCCCAGGAAATCTCATTACAATTGTTCACACAACCATAAGTAATCTTTGCCCAGTCAGTAATGGCATTAAGAATAAATGGTGATCACTTCACGTCCACCACCACGCACCAGGAGAACCCTGTTCAGACCATCTGTCAGAACTTCCAAGAACTCCATGTCTGGCAGGCAAATAAGTTAAGGCTTTACACAATTACAGAAAAAGAACAAAAATTGCCTTTAAAAAAAAAATACTGAAATTGTAATAGATTTAGAACCATTGGGGTTTTGTCCCAATCATGCATGCAGCCTGACTGCACAGATAAAAATGAAGGAATAAAGGCTCTGGACTTCTGCTGCATTTCTGTACAATGTCCTCTAATCCCCCCCTCACCCTGAACTACTAAAACAGTGTTAACGTATTTATTACTAAAACTTTTATTTAAAAATCTTAACTTTAAACAACTGTGATACCTTCACAGTATTATTATTAAATAAAGATAAAACCACTCTTGATTACTACGGATGTGTGAACTGGGGCGGGGGGGGCGGCTCCACGTGCTCAGTGGAGTGCTTCTGGCCCACTTCCAGGTCTGCTGGGGGGGAGCCCTGGGCCCCCCCCCACATATCCCCCGGCAGACCCCAGGTGCCCCCCGCCCCCCAGACCAAGGAGGCACCAGTTGCCGAGCCGGGGGGCACGGGGAGGCCTTCCTGTATGCTCCCCAGTGGACCCGGAAGTGGACTGGAAGTGCTTCTGGTCCACTTCTGGGTCTGCTGCTGAGCACACTGGGGATCACCCATGCTTTTGCGGGACTCTACGTGCACCCCAGCATTGCATCACTCACAAACCGCCTGCTACCTAAAGGTACGCAGGAAAAATATTTAAAGCTATGTCTATGTCTGAATCAATTTGGAGAGATTAAAGGGTCCTATGATTCGATTCAGAGATTTGGCCACCGAATTAGGCCAAATCTCTGTCTAATCAAATCAGGGACTGAAGTTTCACACAGCCCTATTGGTTACCTTTACATCTGCACATGCTGTTCTTAAAAGGAACAGTTCTCATTAACAAAAATGTTAACAGCATACAATTGTGTGCCATTATGCTTACTAATAAATATATGTATAGAAAACTACACACACACTACCCTATATATCAATGTATTAATTATAATTTTAAAATTAAAGTTACAAAGAGAAAACTGTAACTAATGTTATGTCAAACACACATGCATGCATGCATACACTTTTTTGTAATAATGTTTCACATCACTATTATAGCAGTACAGTTTAGGATACAGTTTTCATCCCCTTTTTTGCTTTTTGGAGGTCCAGGCATGTTCAGTAAAACTAGCTGGGCATCTTGTGACTTATTAAGTACTACTCCATTGAGCTTCACAGCAGTGTGCATTCTTCTGACATTTGTCTGATTCCTAACATAGAAAGCAAACATTAAGTAAAAATATTTTTGCATCCAATAAGTAGTTTGGTTTGTTCAGCATATACTACAGGTTTGTGAAAGAATGAGTTATTTGAGGGTAAAACTTAGAAATTAGTTTGCTGTAACCTATAAACGCAGGTACTTATAATAGATTATAGGTACCTATAAACCATCAAGCACACTTTTGATGGTTTATTAACAGAAAAGACACATTTTGAACATAAGACATGTTATATCATTTTCTAACACAAAATCTAACACAAGAACTACTTCCAGACCAATTTCTTTGTAAGGCAAGTTTTAGCCAAGGAGACAGAAGAACACAGAAAGGGCTTTCAACACAGAATAAAGACACAAAACTTAACTAGAAGCACTGCAAAATGGACTATAGCAGGATTACAAGTACACAGTACAATTCCCTTCAACAGCCTTGGAAAGTCAAAGTAAGATAAATGACTATTGTAGTATAAAAAACTTAAAATGAAATTCAGTTTATGAGAAACAGAAAGTTGTTAGCTGGACAAGTCACTTTTTTCAGTTTGTCTTTGCGCGTTATGCCATTGTTTCTTCATGCTGTTCATCCGTCTCAGGAAATAGAATCATGCAGACAAGCTTCTCAGTTCATTAGCATGAAAGGGCACAGGGAAGAGAAACGGACTTGGTACACATCACACATGCAGTACTCTAGAAATCAATTTTTTCTGGTTACAGTAAAATTCATCAGACATCTCAGATTATTCTTGTTAGGATGCTCTGTGCCTCCCTCCAAGTTCTCTGGAGAACAAAAATGACTTCTGTTTATGCAGAAAGTAACTATAAAGAGGAGACTCATGGATGTCATAGGGTACCTTATATACATGCCTGAAGCTTGCTAGTTAACATGCGTCAGAACAGACTATTAATAGAGTTTCCTGAAATGTGCTAATTAGCATACTCCAGCAGCCACATTGTCATGTGTATTCAGCCCCCACTCTTCACAATGGCTGCAGGGGCACTTTAAGTAAAGCTTGAATGAGCTTAGTTAAAGCGCTCCTACTTCCATTTTGAAGCACAGCACACTGAATACACAAGACATGATGGCTACTCTAATTAAAGCACCTCCCCCACACCACATGTAAAGACCATCATAAATACTTGGGCACATTCAGGGAATCTCTCTTTATTAGGCAATTTTGTGTTCTACTGCATAATCTCTAGTCCAGATTCTGAAGGGTTTGGGTATGTGTGTGTGGGGGGTGGGGGGGAGGGGTTCAAGAACATGATACAGTCCAACCTCATAGAGGGATATTTCAAAAGGAGGAACAGAGAAAGACTTGCAGACAGACTGAAAACATGCAGAGGACAAAGTGAGGAACGTAGAAAAAACACCCAATAATGTATTTAAGTAGCCGCTTCTTCCCCCATTCCAAACTAAAAGAAACTTTATTCATTTCATCCCTGGAGTTGGTAAATGGACAAATGTTGTTGCAAGTGGCTCCAGGACTATCCTCCACCACCATGCCTATCCCCTCTTGCCCCTAAAGAGCTCCTCCAACACTATGGAACCAGTACTTTAATAACAGTAATATAAAAAGACTATTTGAAGTGATGTTAACCTTTATGGGTCTCTTCTATTTGGGTAGGGGAAGGGGGAGGGAATAGAACCTGCCCTCACCCTTCCCCAGTGAGAAGTTCCTCTCAAGCTAATGTACAAGCCAAGCACTACATGGACCCCAGATTACAGGTACATGCCATTTTGAGAAAGGGCCAAGATATATTATTGTTTCAAATATTTTATTGATTCTTTGTCTCTAGTGTTATTGTTGAAACACTACAGGTATCAGATATGATTTTCAGGCCAGATCCAGCCCACAGAGCTTTGTTATCTAGCTCAGTGTTACCCACGAAACCAAAAATTTGGTGGTGGGGCAAGTGGTGGCCTCCACCCATCTCACCATCAAATTTCTGGTCCACATCACAAGCTGGATCCAGAGTGCACAGTCACATCATCTGGCCTACAGGTCAGACATTTGGTGGCTGGACAAGTGGCAGCTCCCACAGCTCCAGGAGCCAAGACAATTTCCAGCTCAGTTGGCAGCCCTATCAGACAGACTACATGGACCTGTGTTCCAGTTCTAGCCCATGGATCAGCCATACTCCTAATCTAGCCCACGGACGAGTCCGACATCCCTGCACTAGAGAAAGCCATCACTGACAATGAAGATCCACACAGTTTCACAGTATAGGCACAGTAACATCAGGTTTTGACAAAGTGACATTTGTCACACAATCAATCCCTTGAAAGTGCTCTACAGCTGTGCCCTGACAGAAGTGCATGGCTGCAGATCGCTTTAAAAGTGCCAAACCATGTGACAAATTAACCCTCATGTAATGAGGGTTCAGAAGGTGATGCTCCAAAGTGGAACGCCTTCATTAACTTCTGTCAGTGCCTATGCGCATGATCCAATCAGGGCTGAGCTGATACAGCCCAGCTCTACCCCTGTGCTGTCTGCAGGAAGGGAGGGGGAGAAAGGTGGGGAATGGGTGGATTGGAGCCCCCCCCAAGTTGAGGGGATTGGAAACCGCCCCCATCCACCCCTCCAGCACAGGCTGGGCAAACCCCAGCCCAGAGCTCCTTCCCCTGCTCGTCTCCCCACTTCCATCCTGTAGACAGCACTGAACCTGGGAGGAGGGGAGGGGAGAGGAGATGGGTAGGGCTAGGGGAGAGAAGCTGCAGACAGATGGGGCTCGAGTGATGCTCTCCACCCCCCAACAGCTAACATCAGTTGGGTCGGGGAGCTGGGGAGGGGGTGGGGGTTGCTCTAATTCCTGGCGCTTTCTGTAAGTGTCATGAGTTACAGCAGGGAGCTTCACATACATATCAGCGCCCATTGTGTCCAAAGGTTAATTGCATTGCAGGAAGATTGCTATTTAGAAAATGCAAAGAAACCAAATACGAGTTCTCCTGTTGTCAAAAAAAAAAACAAAACAAAAAACCCCAACATGCTACAAATTAGCAGCGTCTCAAACAGGTGCACATGCGCCACATGCAGTTTGCAGTGCCATGAGCCACACATACACGCTAGTCAGGATTTGCCCTTAGCGTTCTTTGTTTTTTCTGTATATGGAGCAGTTACAGGAACTCAGTGACTGATGACTGGCACTTTCTGAAACAAGGGAATAATTTGGACTCAAATTTTGGGACTTCCTGAGATTTATAGAGTAGTAATTTGAGAAGGCTGTAGAAGAGAACAAGGGTAACAGAGACAGAAATAAAGTAGACTAAAACAGAGGCCAGCAACATTTTCTGGCCAGTGGCTAGAATGACTCAGCTCATGCCTAATGCAGGCAGGCTCTAGGACCTGGCTACCTCCACTGCTTCTTCCTTCCACCTAGCTGTGGCACAGTACAGAGAGATCCTCTCTGCTGAAGCTTATGACACTCAGCTGTTGCATGGTGCAGACAGAGCCCATTGCTGAATGCCACCCAAGCCATGGCTTAGATCCAGCCCACTGACTGTAGATTGCTGACCCCTGAACTACAGCATAAATAAATTATTGGAATAGGACCACAGTCAAAAGGTGGAGTCAATTTCTGAGGATATTCTCGATGGCTGATGAGCAGGTTTATTAAAAGGGGAGGGAGTTGGGGAATCAAGTGTCAGTTCAAGACTTTTCCCTCTGGAAACACAGGGGGCATCAACATGGCAAAAGCACAGTGCTGGTCTGGACAGCTGATCTAGTTATGAATAGTATAGTAGGGGTGCACGAAGCGGGTCCTATTCAATTCAGATTTGGCCTGAATCAGGGACAGTGATTCGATTCACTGATTCGGATCACTGTCCACGATTTGATTTGGCCGAATATGAATCTGATGATTAGATGTCAGTTCAGAGAATCAGTAATTTGGACATAGCTTTAAAAATGCGTTTAGTTTTTTGGGGAGGTTTTTTTTTGGGGGGGGGGGGGGGTTACATACCTCGAGGTACCAGCACAGTTTGTGAATGATGTGATGCTGGGATGGATGGAGCATCCCACCGGGGGGGGGAGGAGGGCAGCGCGGTGGCCCTCCACATGCTTGGCAGGAAACCTGGAAGTGGACTGAAATTACTTCTGGTCTACTTCCAGGTCTGCTGGGGAGCATGCAGGCCCCCCTCCCCAGTGTCTCACTCGGCTTGGCGATCAGCTGGGGGGGACCCCAGGTGTCCCCCCCAGACCCAGGAGGCACCAGTTGCCAAGCTGGGAGGAGTGGTGTGGGGGGGGCGGGGGGTGGGGGGATATCCCCCTGCACGCTCCCTGGCAGGCCTGGAAATAGTCCTGGTCCACTTCTGGGTCTATTGCTGAGGTGTGCTGGGGACCCCCTACGCTTCTGAGGGACACTCCATATGCCCCAGCATCGCAGCATTCATGAGCCACACAGGTACCTAGAAGTATGTAGAAAAAGCATTTAAAGCTGCGTCTGTCCAAATCTCTGAATCTTTCCAAATCTCTCTGAATTGATTCGGAGGGTTCCAATTCAATTCGAACAGATTAAAGGGTCCTGTGATTCAATTCGGATATTTGGCCACCAAATTGGGCCGAATCTCCACCAAATCAAATTAAAGGCTGTGCGAAGCTTCAGTCCCATAGTATAGCCATGTTTGCTGTTTCTGAGTATCCAGGCATAGTCAAGTGCTCTGGGGAAAAATGTCTGCCAGTGCAGAAAGAAACAGAAAAATGGAAAGGAATAAGAGACACGGAGACGTTCAACTGCTTCCACGAGAGTAGATAAATTCCCCTCAAGGCACTTTCAAACTGATTGACAAAAATCGGAGATGCTAGATTCATTTTTCCTTCCTTCTGCCACACAGCTAAAATGATGGGTCCCTTTTTTGGGTAACATTTTAGCAAAAAGTACTACAGCTCAAATGGATGGTGAGAAGGTGCAGTATTTTTGGGGGGAGGCGGGCAGGGAAGAAAACTGGAAAAAAAACAAAACTTATCTCATTTCAAGAAGCCTTAGTCTCAGATTTACCAGCTAGTATGAGCCTAAGTTAAATCATGAGAAGTATTCTCAATAATCAATACATTTAAGATGGTTCTGAAGGCTTTTTTTTTAAATTTTTTATTACCACAAACAAAAAACCTCAATATACTGATAAAAATTCTGCATTTTCTTATCAGCTATAGTGAAACTCAACTATGAATTACTAAAATGGAAAAACTGATGAGATTTAGGAGGTGAAACAGAACAGGAAATACTAGCCTAATGACATTCACATGCCAAATAATGATATATGAGCAATATACAAACTGTAAATAATGGGAAGCATAAAAGCATTTCAAGGAGACATGCAATAATATTAAACAAGAACCAGCAACAATCTAAATTGCCTAAATTAAATGAAATTTCAACTTACAGATTTCCCCATTCTCTACAAGGAAGAGAAATAAACATGTTTAAATACATTGTCTTATGCTACCTAGACATTTGTAATACAGCAATTTTAGCTGATAACACATATTGCAAGTTAAGGCTTGGTTATTCTGAGCCTATGAAGAAGTCAAGCACCTGGCTTTGTCTTCTCCAGAGTAAATGGAGAAGAAATGGTGCAGATTCATGACACGCATTACTTACTCCAGAGGAAATGCTGTTGTTTTGTGCAGAGTTACTTCTGAACAAGTCAGATGTAGACTTCATCTAGGGAAAAGTTGCTCCTATGCATCTATCATATGTTCACACTGCCATTCAAGTTCACTCCAGGGTAAACATTTTCTTAATGCAAAATGTTTCCTTCAGCACCTAACAGCCAGGTGCTGTAATAGTGCCTACCTCTGGGCAGCCATCTAGGTGGGGGGAAGGTGGTCATATGCCTGCATTATACTTCAGAGTAAGTTTACTGTGGCATAAAGTTTGAGGTATGTTAATCCAGAGTAAACCTGGGCTTCCTATGAAATGAATGGAGAGTCCTAAATATTTTCCAAGGGAAATCCAAAATTGTCTCCCTGCAGAGTTGATTAAACATCTACAGCTAGCTAATAGGAATGCTAGCCACAGGGTCGTGCCTCAACTTCTCTTCTACCTCAGAGACAGGACTGCAAAAGAGATGACAGATCAGGCCCAAGACTGTTCAGAGGGAAGGTGCCTCCCTGAGAGCAACACTGACTTCAATCCATCCAAAGGTGGTCGGTTATGGCAGTGTCTACCTTTTGTCCAACAGTCTAGTGGTCAGAGCACACCCCCCCGGACGTCAGAGACCAGCAGGCTGGAGGCACCTCAACTCTTGTTGAAGCTATTCAACTTGGATTAAAATAATTTCTTGTACCAGGGGGCCATAACCGGCCTGCAAGGCCATGTCATCCAACCTGTGGGTCTTCCCACAGGTCTGGAAATCTGGTGGCAAGGGAATGGTGCCAGCATTACTAGCCTCTACCTTGATGCCAAATTTTCAGATGCAGGGGGAACCCTGTGGGCTAGATAAAACTGGCTGTATCTGTAAGTGGCTGGATTTGGGACATGACAACGGGCCTGCAGACAGACCCTGCAGGTGGGATGCAGCCTATGGACCAGCCCCATACCACTCATCTAGCCTGCAGGGCTGGAAGGTTGAGCATCAACTGTCTTATATTTAAGAAGTTACTAGATAAATTTCTGAAATAATCTTTGGACCTTGCATTGGAATCCCTTTTCCCAGATGGCTCCTTACTCACACAGCTACAGAGTCTGGCTCAATCCTCCCTCCCTTTAGCAGTCCCTATTTCCAGAAAAGGATGAACCCCAGTAGTGCTGAGTTCAGCACTTAAGCCCCCGAGTGATGGACTTGCAGATACCTCTGTCCTGCACGTGCACTTCTTGCTGACTATCTTAAGTAGCCCCCTCGTTCTCTCTTCTTTGGGCTGGCTTCTCCAAATATCATTTCTCAAGTAAATTTTTATATAAATCACATTGGCTCTCTGCCCAAGGAGCCAAACTTGTGGTTGTGGAATCTTCTACCAGTGTGCATGTGGCCAGTGAATTCCTTTGTGGATGTGCCTTAAGTATCACTGAGATGTTAAAAACCCATAAGATCATCTGACTTTCAAATTTAACTCATGTTAAAGCAGCTCTCACAAGGCCTTTAAACCATTCAGGTCCGTATCTCACAGCTGGCATATTTGGGGTAGCTCTGCACCTGCGTGCATACTTACAGACAAAGATCTGCCCATGTTTCTACCTGCAGGGCTGTGTCCCAAGTGTGTTTTATTAAAGCACAGAATCGAGTGAAATTAAGAAAATATTCAGTTACTGCTTTATGTGTCTATTTCTAATAAGAATACTGAACATGTACCACAGGACACATGAAATCCAGTTCACTCTACAACCCATTTACTATAAAGACACACAAACATTTCCTGTAAAGCACTAACATATTTGCATTTATTTGTGACAGTTGCCAAAGTTGGCATTCAGTGTTTCACATGCTAGCCTCCTTTAAACTTCACTTTGAGCTTGATTTTGTAGACACTAAATGCAAGTACCTTCATGCACACGAGTGGTTCCAGCAATTCTTGCATGGTGAAGTACTGGCAAGTTCAGGCTTTAAGTGAAGTGCAAAGAAGCTAATGTTTGAAGCAAAAGCTACCAGGAAAAGGATAAAACTCAGATCTCATGAAAAAGTCCCATTTGTACTTACGGCTTCAGGTTGAAGATATCTTTAAAACCGGTCAGATTTGTTTCTTTGTTTTTATGTTTTTCAGAAACAAGCTTTTCTTTAGTCCAAGTCATTTGCACTCTTTCAGGTGCAGCTGCAGCAGCATTGGCTTGGACAACTGCTGCTGAATGGGATGCAGTATTTCTGTCATGGATTAGCTGAGCCTGGCCAAAAGGAAAAAAGAAAATGGATTTAGAAAAAAAAAAAATCTTTATTTACTAAGAAAACCTGCAACTGCATCATTTAAAATGATGGGGACTGTTAGATAGATTTGAATTGGACCAGGATTAGCATCATGATGTACAAAAGTATTAGACCCAAATTGTGTACACACAGGTGCTTAACTTTAATATTGGATCAAAAAAAACCTATTCACTACAACTGAGTTAGCCATTTGTATTTGAAGAGTGAAGTCTTAAAAAAAAAAAAAAAGCTTATTTTAACAATAACATTAAATGATACACTTTACTAAACCTGAATAGAAAGAGTTAAAATTACTAAACACCTACTTTTCAAATTGATGATTTTTCATGGGAACTGCTATAGGTATAAAAAAGAAGTCTTTTGCAAACGGCTCTGTGAACCTTTGTAAAATTGAGTTCTAAAAGTATTAATGTATTTCTGTCCCAAATTATGTAATATTCTAGTGTAAGTCTCTACAAAGCATTGCAATGTCTTATGTCTGATAGACTTCTATAAGGCTTTAAAAATTCCACAAACATGTGTGTAAAGTCTATCATCACTAGTAAGACATTAGATAGTTCAGTTTTCAGCCTAACCATGAGATGTATTTTGATGATTATAGCAGTTGATATCAACACTGAGATAAGGTTATGACTGGCTTCTGTTTTATTATCTAGGGAAAAAAACATATCTCCCCATCATAAACATATAAACAGCTGCTGTTGTTCATCTTTTAAGAACAAATTTGTGCCTCTCCTCCATAATTTCATAACTATTTTACTCTTCATCCCTATATTTATTTTTAATGAGGACACAATGTAAAATAATATTTTTTCTTGCTGCTTCTACTTTTAACGCCCCTTGTACTTTCCTCCAAAGCAATTTATCAACACAACACTGTACCCTGCCTTGTTTGCAAGTGAAAATAATATTTGGATTTTGAAGATTTTAGCATTTGAACAGGAAATAAATAAGAGTAATTTGAAAAATAAAGCATCCTGCTGCAATTATCAGAGCTGACTAGGGCACTCACACACACACCCCCCGCCCATTCATTTTAGCAGATGGGCTCCTCAATTTAAAATGACCCACCTTCAAGAAAAGGAGGAAGGAAGATCTGGGAAACTACAGGCCGATCAATTTGACCTCAATGCCTGGAAAGATCTTGGAAAAAATTATCAAAGAAACCGTTATCGATAGGCTAACAGAAGGCGGCGTTCTGAGTGATAGCCAGCCCAGGTTTGTTGCAGGTAGCTCTTGCCTGACCAATTTTATTTCCTTTTATGACCAGGTGACGCATCACCTGGACAAAGGGAAAGCAGTTGATATCATATATTTGGACTTAAAAAAAAAAAAAAAAAAAAGCCTTTGACCTGGTGTCCCATGATGTCCTCATGGAGAAACCGGGGAACTGTGGCCTTGACTACCCTACAGTCCGACAGCTGGGGAACTGGCTCCGAGGTCAGCCCCAGAGTGGTAGTTGAGGGAAACAAATCAACATGGCACTCGGTGACCAGTGGTGTCCCCCAGGGCTCTGTTCTCAGACCTGTACTCTTTAATGTCTTTATAAATTATCTGGACTCTGGCATCAGAAGCAGACTGGTTCACTGATGACACCAAATTATGGGGAAGTGTCCACACTTGAGGATAAATTGGCAATCCAGGCCAACCTCAAAAGGCTCGCAAGGTGGGCGGATGAAAACCTGGTGGCATTCAATACGGAGAAATGCCAGGTACTCCGCCTCACGGGGGACGGGACACCCGCATCACACTTATAGGCTCAGCAGTGCTACACTCGCTAGCAACATGACCAAAAGACTCAGGGGTCATGATTGACCACAAGATGAACACGAGCCACCAATGCAGTACTGCAACCAGCAAAGCAAACAAAAAACTCTGGCTTGCATCTACCGATGCATCTCAACCAAGACCCAGGAATTCATCCTCCCACCGTACTCAGCTTTGGCAAGGCAGTAGCTGGAGTACTGCATCCAATTCTGGGCTCCACAAATCAGAAGGGATGTGGAAAAGCTTGAAAGAGTCCAGAGGAGAACCACATGCATGATCAGAGGGCAAGAGATGCCATATGAAGAGAAGCTGAGAGCCATGGGACTCTTCAGCCTGGAGAAGCGTAGGCACAGGGGTGACTTGGTGGCAGCCTATAAGCACACAAGGGGTATGCATCAGGATCTGAGGGCACTCCTATTCACCAAAGCACCCCAAGGGAAGACAAGGTCCAATGGTCACAAGCTCCTGCAAGACTGCTTTAAGCTGGACGTAAGGAAAAACTTCTTTTTGACCGAGCCCCCAAGGCCTGGAATAGACTCACCCGAGAGGTAGTGCAAGCACCTACTCTGGATACTTTTAAGAAACATGTGGATGCCCATCTTGCTGGGATCCTTTGACACTAGCTGAAACTTCCTGCCCCTTGGGCAGGGGGCTGGACCCAATAATCTTACAAGGTCCCTTCCAGCCCAAATGTCTATGAAATCTATGAAATTTCTATCAACTGGTATGCAGCTGGGCACCTCAGTGAAGATAGGAGATATGTGGCCTGTTGCTTGAGAAAGACTATTTGAGGTTGGGGCCTATTTATAAGCCAGGACAGACTTATATCCTATGGCTATCCTGATTTGGTCATAATTAATAACATCCAACCTTTTCTGCAAAATGGCAACCATCTCAAGGTAGTCTCAAGGGAGACAAACCTTTCTTGCCTGACAGGCAACTCCCACAGCCTCAAATGGCGTATGTCAAGCCAACAGGTTACTGTTCCATCCTTGCCAAAGTGCCAAGCCTTGCAATGCACAAAAATGCAGGTTGTGCACCCTGATCAACACAGTCAGCATAATCACTGGACCAAACAACACTGGCAGAAGAGCAGATTAATAACACTGGAGGTTCATTCATGTCATATGCCATCACTTGCTTACATATACGAGCCAGTAGCTGTCCAACCTCTTCTTAAACACCTCCAGTGATGGAGAGTCCACAAATTACCTAGGCAATCTATTCCACTGCCTCATTATTCTAACACTGAAGAAGTCTTTTTTTCTCTGGATACCCAAGCTAAACTTGCTTCGCTGCACCTTCAGGCCATTGGTCTGCATCCTCTTTTCTACAGCAAGAGAGAAAAGGTGCTTTCCCTTGTCTTTATGGCAGCTCTTCAAATATTTGAAAACTGCTATCATGTCACCTCTTAAGTGCCTTTTCTGCAAGCTGAACATGCTTAGGTTCTTCAGCCTCCCCTTGTATAAAACTTGCTTTCCAAGCCTTTCATTATCTTTGCTGCCCACCTCTGGACCCTCCCTAACTTCTCCACTTCCTTTTTTTAAAATGCAGAGCCCAGAACTGCGCATCATATTCCAGATGAGGCCTAACCAGTGCTGAGTAGAGAGGCACTACCACCTCCTGTCTTGCACCTCATGCTTCTATTGATGCATCCTAAAACTACATTTACCTTTTGTGCACCACACTGAAGACTTGTATTGAGTCTGTGATCTACCAAGACCCCCAAGTTCTTTTTCACAGACCTGTCATGCAGCCAGGTGTCCCCCATTTTGTATTTGTGCTTTTGATTATTTCTCCTGAGATGTAGCATCTGGTATATGCCTGAATTGAACTTCATCTTGTTAACTCTAGCTCAGCTTTCTATGGGGTGCATCTCTATTCTTTCTTCTGCTTTGTCACACTAACATGGCTAGCTACCTCTCTATAGGTATACCAGCAGAGGGCTATATTATGTGCCCACTTTTTTTTTTTGTTTTTTTTTTTTAAAGTGCTAGTATAAGAATGGGTTAGATGTGCCATGTTTACACCAATGTAAGCCCTTCAAATACCTGAGCTACTTATAACCATGTTCTTAGGAGGCTCTGTACTCAACAGGAAACTTGAGTCTTATCAAGTTAAAGCATGACTGCAGATGCACTAATTATCCCTTTCATTCCGTTTTTCTATATATTACAGTCCATTTTCCACTCTAACATTTAATATGATAATCAATCTATAAACCATATTTTCTGTCTTTGATCAATATGTTTTAGGAACCGAGAATTATGTTATGGATGACAATGGTATGGTTTACAATTTTTTTCTATGACTAGGGTAGCCAACATAAAAATGTAAAAATAAACAAAATACATAAGGACATATCTTGCAACAAGTAGAACAGACATGCCTTGCTATTTTTTGCAACAAGGTGAAATATCAAATTTGTAATTTACAACACTTCCAGGAACTTGAGAGAAAAAAGAAAGGACAATATTTTGTTAGTGATAGTCTAATACTGGGTTTTATTACATTACTTCTATGAAAAATTAACACAGAAATACACACACTATCCAAAGTAGAGGGACACAGTCTAGTGCTACAAACCAGGGTACTTGTCTTTGGACACAAGAAACACTTGAAGTGCCATGTCTTCTTATTTTTTGATAATATTTCATATTATTTTAACTAAGGAAAGAATTGGTGAGATTGATACATGATCTCATTTCATTTCCAGACTACTCTACATATTACTTTGCCTTCCTTCAAAGTAAAAACTAGATTTAAGATGTTTCATCATAATTATACAAATACTGTAGTTCTTTATTTTTTGATAAAAATAAAGAACAGATTTTAAACTTTAAAAAAAATGGCCTTTAACACACACAAAAGGGTGCACATAACTTCCCTTCACTTCACTTTAGATTTCTAAAAATATTAAATGGACTCTGAGAAGCTTCAGCAATTAATTACATAGAGTATGAAGAAGACTATCCTCTGCATGTCACTTGGTAGACTATTAAACGCCAAAGATTATACTTTGGAGAAATTGTGTAGTTGCCTTTATCCAACTCCTTCAGTTCCAGGGTTCACTTAAGGGGAGGAGGAGGATGAAGCAGTAGTATATTTTCCTCAGCCTATATTTTTTTTTCACCTTACTTCTGAGAAAATTCTAGATGAGACAATGAAATGTGTGTTTCAGGCTAATTTCATGCTAACAGTTCATGATCATTCATATTAACAGGAATATTCAAGAAGATAAAAAGTAACTAACAAGGTAAAATAGTACACTTAGGGTGTTTATACATGTGCTCTGGAAGGTGGTGGGGGTGCTTTAATTAGAGTTAAAGTGCCCAGAGTGTCACATGTATCAGCGTCCCACACTGAAAAATGGTGGCAGGAGTGCGCTAACTAAAGCTGGTTTGACAAGCTTTAGTTAAAGCACCCCTCACCACCATTTTTCAACCTGGGGACACTGATGCATATGTGACACTGCAGTCTGCTTGAGCATGGTAATTGCCAAGCTCCAGCAGATTCGACTGAGTTTCCTCCGACGCGCTACATGTAATTACAGCACGTTGAAGTAGCCTTAGTGCATGTGTATAGGTGCTCTTAGATAATAGCAAATACTAAAACCTATCAAGGAATGTTTCTGGATAATAGAAAAAAATCCTACTCCTACATGCACCAATTTTGTTGATCGCCAAGTTTGTTTATTTGAGAGAGAAATGGGCACCATTTCATTAAAAGAAGTCTGAAAGTTTTGAAGAAATAAAACCTTCAATTTAAATTTGCAATCCTCTAACTAAATTTTCTATGGCAGCACTTCAAGTGTTGTCATGGGAATGTAATATCCAAATCAGTACTATTTCAGACTACCTCATCCTCTCGCTTGTCATTGGGCACCAGAACCTGCTTATCTTGACCAATGGACTGTGGACTACAGTGCCTTTGTCTTCTGATTGAGCCTCGAGACTCATCAGTGATGCTCTGAATCTGGGATATGAAGGTCATCAAGTACAGCAACCAGCATACAGAAAAGGATATAATTAATTGTGTTGCTCAGGAAAAAAAGTATTTATATAGCTTTAATTTGTTCTATCCAGAAAATTGCTGCTATGTTGTTCTGTTTACTTTCCAAAAAAAATACTTTAACACATTAGCATTGTAACAATATATTTCTCATATGAGCTTTGAACATCTGCTTTTTAAAATTAAAAGAGAAACAAAAGAAATACTAGTTTATACTTCATCAAAAGTTACATAACAAGAAAGGAAAAATCCGAACTCATGAAATTTGTCCAAATGTGAAACCTAGCTCCATAGTAAACTAATAATAATAATAATAATAATAATAATGTTTTCCAGGCATTAGACAAGCGTTTCGCACAGAAACCAAAACCAATTTTAGAAAATTAAAAAAAAAAGAAGTCACATAGCATGTTTTTTCAATGTTTCACACACCCCCAGGGACTGAAATATTGCGGCAGGGGCCATCCCCCTGCCGCAGGGGTTTGCAGAGAGGCACGCTACAGGGACCCAGCATCAGCAGCTGTGGGATGCTGCCAAGACCCAGAGTCCCCAGCAGTTGCGGGACTCCTAGCCCTAGCTGGGCCAGATGCACCCCTGTGGCTAGAGGCTCTGTCTGTTGACAGGTCTCCCAGCCACGGGGGAGCCCCTGCTACACATGCAAATTAAAGCTTGATAACAGCCAGCTATAAAGTTAGTACATATTTTTGAGATCAAACTTTATAGCTGGTTGGAGCTTTTTATGGCATGATAGCTACTTTGCACATGTGGTTGGTTTCAAGGTAATTACGTGATAGCTGTAATGTGCAGAGGAGGTCTCTGCCACAGACTCACTGTGTGAATACGTTACAGAAAGACACCCATTGTAAAGCAGCAATATCAGTAAATAATACTTTCCTTCCAGAATTAAAAGGCTAATCTTGCAGATACGTTTTTAAACTCAATGACAAAAACATATCTGCAATATTAGCCTTTTAATTTTGGAAGGAAAGTATTACCAAAGTTGCTGTGCCCTGAAGATGACAGTACTACTATAAAGTATGAAGTAACCAAAGCTTGTCATTTAAAGGAGCATTTGTCATGCAGTCAGTTATTCAGAAATGCAGAGCTTCCAAACAGCAGCAATGAATTTAAAGATACAAGTAAAATAGTGGTTCTCAACCTCAGTAGACTCAAGTCACCCCTCAGAAAATGTCAGCAGTTGGCTTTCATTCCTTTTTGACTACAGAAAAATACTAAAGCAATTCTTCTGTTGCAGACAACTCAGAAAGACCACAACAGGTCGGAAAGTCACAGGTAATTATGAATTCCTATTTGAAATCTCTGGGGTTATTCTTATAAATCATGTTTGCATACCTAACACTGCTAACATTGCGTAACACCCCACGTCACCCTTGAAAGTGTCTCAAGGCACTCCAGGGTGCTTGCAGCACTCTGGCTGAGAATCACTAGAATAAAAGAAAAAAGTTATTGGGAGGTAAGGTAGGATGTGAACTTATTGTATGTCAACAACTCCTTGGTGACTGCCCATGTGCACAGTCTTACTCCAAAGACAATACGAGACAGCTTCCCCCACTTTCATTAAGGGGCACACTGGATCACAGCGTAACTTTTTGAAATAATATTAGAAGGCCCTCCAAACTCAAGAAGATACACATGGATGAAAATGACTAAATGACATGGATGACTAATCTAAACATATTGTTAATAGGAGTATTTCAAGCCCCATATCAGCAAGAGTAGTCAAGCTATTGTGTATAAAATACTAGCATTCCAACAGCAAAGATAACATTAATTGAAATACCATAGGTAAACTAGCAAAGCAATTAAAAATAAACTATTTTATTTAGTAATTAGAAACTTAGAGACCATGTCCCACCATAACTATTTTTACTTGCTTCTCCAAGGTCTCCATAACATTTATACGCAGGTTAAATTACTTACCTCCCTTTCCCTTTCATTCTTGGACAACTGCATCTGTTTTAACATCTGAGATCGCTGTTCCATCACAAGTGTTTTCTCATATGTGAATGCTGAAATGTCATTTTCAAACTACAAAAATAACAATTAATTCTTTTAAATAAGGAGAAAGTTCTCATTTACAAAAAAGTAATTTAGGCAATGTCTCGTGTTTCTTTTTAAATGCATCCCAAATTAAACCAAAATGGTATTAGCAGAATAAAATGAGAGAAAGTTACTTTATAGTTGATTCTGCATCATAATATATACAGAAATGAACAGATATTATAAGTATTTAGGAACAACACTCGTGTTTCATTTTGTATTTTATATTAAAATATCTAGGGCGCGTTTACATGAGATGTTAATGCGCATTAACCTTATTTAATATGCAAGACTGGCGTGCATCTACATTTGTGCACCCTTAATGCACATTAAAAATAGCAAAATTAGGTTAATCATGCCTAAATTTGATACCTGCAAATGCAGGTATCAAATGTAGGCACGATTAGTTATAAATGCACATTAAACCAGCACTTTTGGCTAGCCACCTCTCCTCCCCCCAGGGCTGAGCTGCTCTCTGGCAGCCCCTAGCTGCAGGCTATTAAAACCAGCAGCCATTTTGTGCCCTGGGGCACATACACCAGCAGCCTGGACAAGACTGCTAATCTGCGCAGGAGCCCAGCAGGCCCTGTGTGCCCCTAGACAGGCCACAGGCTGTCTCTGCCTGGCCTGCTCCAGAGCTGCTGCCTGGCCACAGGTGAATGATGCAAAGGGCTGCAGCTTGTTACACCCTTTGTCCTGCCCTGACATTCCTCACAAGCTGTCTCTGGCGGCAGGGCCAGCACTTGCTCCCTGCTACTACTCACCCCGAGCTGTGTCTCCCGTGCTTACAGGTCCTGTGGAAGTGCCTCTGCTGCGTGGCTCCCAGTTCCTGGTTGTGCCCCTGTGCTAGGTGCTGATGGCAGCCATCCAGGGCTGGGCACACAGGGACAGCCACGTGGGGGCCCAGACAGCCAGTGCGGTACAAGAATGTCATTGTCCTCCTCCCCATCAAGCCCCAGCCCTGCTCATGGGCACATGCCTGTGCCAACTGCCCAACTGGGCCCAGGAGGTGGTGCAAGACCTCGTGGCACTCTGGGTCCATGCTGATGTGCAGAGGCAGTTTGTGCAGGGCGGGAGCTGAAGCGCCCACATTTACAAGGCCATCAGGTGGGATGTAGGAGTGAAGGCACTCTCAGTTGGTGCGGCAGTGCCATGTAAAGGTCAAGGTCTCATGGGCACAGTGGATGGCTGTGACCAACTTCAACTGTTGGTCCAGTCATGCTCAAAAGTCCATGCCCTTTATATGCAGGAGCTGACCCGCAGTTTGGTACCCCAGGAACCAGGCCATATCCCTCCGAGTGCCACCAGCAGGGGCAGTCTGCCTGAGCTCCTGCCCCACCCTGATGCCTCCAGGTACTTACCATTGTCCCTGGGCACCCATGCAAGACTGGACCCCAGATCTGAGGCCGAGCACCACATGGCCCCTGGTGCAGAGCATCTTATCTCTGAAATGTTGCAAACTCCCAAAAGGCTTCTGTCTCTTGCCTCATCTGGACGTGGGGGAGAGGCCACCAGCCTCAGTGGGGATTCAGACCCCAGGTTGCTGCCACCCACCACTGGAGCAGTCCGGATGCATCGGCTGTGCTAGCGGCACACCTGGGACTGGGCCTTCCTGCTCCAGCAGCTTGTGGTAGTGGTGAAGGAGTGGGAGGCATGAGAGCAGGCCTGGCAGTTGGAAGACATCGCCCAGGTGGAGGCATGAGACTAGTCCCACATGAAGGGCCTGGAGCAAGAGTACATGGAGCAGCTCCAGCAGTAGGAGGATCCCAACTACCAATCCATTGATATTCTCTTGGCCCTGGTAGTCGTGTACATGTCCCACACTGCCCAGCTCCAACCCATGGCCCTGTAGGGCACCTGGGTCCCACCCGCCACCCTGCAGCAGGCCCCTACCTGGCCCTGGGAGGAAGTCCTTGGGCACTTCCTGACCGTCAGATCACCTGGCCCAGCCCCCACCCTAGACCTACCACCACCCACCTGGATCTGGGCCTCTCCTCCCCTGCACCACAGCCAGAGACCCAACCTCATAGGAGGCCACACCTGCAGGGGTCACTGTAGCCCCTGGACCAGCAGGAGAACATTTAAAAGCTGAGGTGCTGGGCATCTGCCCTGGGGCTCTCCCCGCTAGGTCCCCAACCCAGGGCCCCCCCCCCACTCTGGCCTGAATACCCAAAATATTGTAAATAGTTTTCAATAGGTATATAGTTTGCCTCTTGTAAGCAGATTTTGTATTACTGGTTGGTGGGAAAGGTGGTGGAGAGGTACTGTTCATTAAGTGGGGAGGGATGAGAGCGAGGGATGTGAGGGCAATAAAACTTACTTTTTTGCTGTTGTTGTTTTGTTTTATCCATGTGCATGTCCTGAGAGTGGTGCTGGGAGTGGGAAAGGGCTAGGGGGTGTGTGGGAGGCAGGGTAGGCAGGCTGGAGCAGGGAGTGCAGGAGGAAGGGGTTGGGCCAGGACCTCCCATAGCCAGTGCCCTGGCCCTTGCTGGCACATGTAGCTCTACTGGGGTCAGCAGGAGTGTGGGGAGGTGGTCAGCATTGGCCGGGGCCATCTGGAGCAAGGGCAGGGGCTGGAGTGGGAGCAGGTCTGGTGTGAGGAGGCTGGGTGGGCAAGGAGGGAGCTGGCCCTGCACTAAGCACACAGTTCCTGGGCAGGAAAGGGGCTGGCCAGGGATCAGAGTTTCCAAGTTGGCTGCCAAGTGCTGGCAGCAGGTTTTGGCTTCAACATGGCTGTCAAGTGCTGGTAGCCATGTGGCTGGAGCTCCCCCCAGTGGCCACATGGCAAGACTGGAGGGACTTGAAACTAATCCCAAGTCCCTGCACATTTAGACACCTTGCAAAAATTGCTTAGTGCACATTAGCTTAATGTGCATTAAAATTTAGTTGTACTTATTTGCGCATGTAAATGCACCCCTAGAGAGAATGAAATTTTGCACATACATCTGTCTGTATATCTGGCATGTTGGAGCAGACTCAATTAACTGAGTCTGCTCCGCACGCCAGCTGACGTGCCCGGCGCTGCACTGCATGCATTTGTATAAATAACAAATGCATGTCAGCCTTGAGAAAATGGTGACAGTGTGCTTTTGAACTAAAACACCTTTTTCATTTTCTCAGTACTGATGCATATTTCACCGAGCACTTTTAAAAGCACCCAGTGCTGCAGTGCAAGCATGTGTACAAATGGCCATTTATTTTTTTCTAAGCTTCTAAGTTGCATAGCTGTTGCTTAATACACAACATAGAATCTAGTTAATTTCTGAATTGTTGTTAAAAGATTTGAAAAGTGATGTGAAATAGAAGCAATTATGAAGATACTGTTATCTTTAGCCATTTTAAAAATCAGTAAATAAGTATAGGTGGTCTCTTCAAATTTGTGTAGAAACTATTTTATCAGATTCACTTTTAGTAGCGATTTGCCTTGTGAATTCTTTCAGACTACCATACACAGGGTGCATCTACACGTGCCGATTTAAAGGTGCATTAGCCATTTTTAAGGTACATTAATGGTGTGGGTCTATATGTGCACACCCTTAATGCGCCTTAAAACGGCGATTTTAGGCAAGCAGATATCAAGGTGTCTCTATCATTCTTGTCTAACCAACCTCATCTCCTTTTACGATCTGGTGACTCGCCACCTGGATAACGGAGAAGGGGTGGATATTGTATACCTTGACTTCCAAAAAGACTTTGAACTTGTATTCCACAATGTTCTCGTGAGAAAATTCGAAGATAGCGGGCTTAACTGCGAGATGGTTAGGTGGGTATGAACATGAGCATCAGATCGCCAACAGGGGGGGAGGTGTCCTTCAGCAGCTGATCGCTGAGCCCACAGCCACCAGTGGCAAAACTGGAAGTGCACTTCCACCACCACTTTCGGTTTCACAGCTGGCGCTTCCAGGGAGTGCACGGCCAATCTCAGGCGGTGCATGTGCACCTGTGTGCACCCCCTCTGCATCGCCAATGGGTACAAAGCTGGCTGCAGGGTAGGACTCAGAATCCTAATGAACGGATCAGTGTCACCTTGGCAAGAAGCAGGTAGCAGTGTCCCACAGGAGTCAGTGCTTGGTCCTGTACTTTTCAACATCTTCATCAGTGATTTGGATGAGGGGGTGAAGAGCTTACTGCTCAAGTTTGCAGATGACGCCAAGTTATGGGGAAGCATGATCACGCTTGAAGATAGGCTACATATACAGGTGGATCTAAACAGGCTAGCAAGTTGGGCGAGTCAGAACCAGATGAAGTTCAACATCAAGAAATGTAAAGTGCTCCACCTAGGGATGAACAATCCCTTGCACACCTACAGGCTTGGCAATGCCAGCCTGACCAGAACTATGAATGAAAGAAACCTGAGGGTATTAATAAACCACAGCATGAATATGAGCTGGCAATGTGACACTGTTGCCAGCACGGCAAATAATACTCTGGCATGCATCAATCGATGCATCTCCAGCAAGACCAAGGAGGTGATTCTTCCACTCTACTCAGCATTGGTGAGACTCCAACTGGAGTACTGTATCCAGTTCTGGGCATAACACTTTAACAAGGATGTGGTACAACTTGAGAGAGAGAGTCCAGAGAAGGATCACTCGTATAATTAGAGGTTGCACAGCAAGCCATACGAGGAAAAGCATATGGCCCTACCAAGCGTTGACCCTGAGATGGTGCAGAGTCACTTGGAAGAACTGGATGCGTTTAAGTCAGCAGGCCCGGATGAGCTCCATCTGGGGGTACTGAAGGCACTGGCTGATGTCACTGCCCAGCCACTGACAAGAATATTTGAGCAGTCATGGCACACGGGCCAGGTCCCAGAGGACTGGAAAAGGGCCAATGTGGTCCCTATTTTCAAGAAGGGGAGGAAGGAGGATCCAGGCAACTATAAGGGGTCCCACAGGGCTCTGTCCTTGGACCGATGCACTTCAATGTCTTCATCAGTGACTTGGACGAGGGAGTGAAGTGTACTCTGTCCAAGTTTGCAGATGATACAAAACTGTTGGGAGAAGGACACACTGGAGGGCAGGGAACAACTACAGGCAGACCTGGACAGGTTGGACATATGGGAAGAATACAATAGAATGCAATTTAACAAGGAGAAATGCAAAGTTCTGTACCTAGGGAGGAAAAATGTCCAGCACACCTACCGCCTAGAAAATTACCTGCTCAGTAGCACGGAAGCAGAAAGGGACCTCGGAGTCCTAGTGGACTCCAAGATGAACATGAGTCGTCGGTGTGACGAAGTCATCAGAAAAGCTAATGGCACTTTATCGTGCATCAGCAGATGCATGACGAACAGAACCAAGGAGGTGATACTTCCCCTCTATCGGGCGCTGGTCAGACCGCAGTTGGAGTACTGCGTGCAGTTTTGGGCGCCGCACTTCAAGACGGATGTGGATAACCTGGAGAGGGTCCAGAGAAGGGCCACTTGTATGGGTAAGGGCTTGCAGGCCAAGCCCTACAAGGAGAGACTAGGGCACCTGGACCTCTTCAGACTCCGCAAGAGAAGGTTGAGAGGTGACTTTGTGGCTGCCTATAAATTCAGAGCAGAGAAGGGAATTGGTGAGACTCTACTCACCAAGGTGCCCCTGGGGGGTCACAAGAAATAATGGCCATAAGCTAGCAGAGAGCAGATTTAGACTGGACATTAAGGAAGTATTTCTTCACAGTTAGAGTGGCCAAAATCTGGAATAGGCTCCCAAGGGAGGTAGTGCTCTCCCTTACCCTGGGGGTCTTCAAAAGATAGGCATCTAGCTGGGGTCATCTGAACCCAGCACTCTTTACTGCCTATGCAGGGGATATGCAGGGGATCGGACTCGATGATTTATTGAGGTCCTTTCCGGCCCTAACATCTATGAATTTATGAAAAGCTGAGGGACCTGGGACTCTTTAGCCTGAAAAAGAAGGGTGAGAGGGGCTTGGTAGCAGTTTACCGCTACGTCATGGGAGTACATCAGGGGCTTGGCAAACAACTGTTCACCAGGGCACCCTTGGGAAGAACCAGAAGTAATGGCCACAAATTCCTAGAAAACCATTTCAGGTTCAACATTAGGAAAAACTTCATCACAGTTAGGGTGTCCAGACTGTGGAATAAGCTCCCTCCAGAGTTGATGCAATCACCTACCCTGGAAATCCTCAAAAGGAAGCTGGATAGTCATCTTGCAGGGATCACCTGACCCCACCTGCCTTTCCTGCCTGGTGCAGGGGCTGGACCCAAAGATCTTCCGAGGTCCCTTCCAGCCTTACAATCTATGAAATTTAGGCACAAATAATTACAAGTGCCTTAATGCACACGTAGATGCGCTAAGGTGCATAAACCCTGTATGTCAACTGAACTGCCACTAAGTTTAGTCCCAAGTAGGTCCACACACCCTGTTAATGTGCCTTTAGTGTGCACATGTAGGACGTGCACCTAAATTACCTTAATGTGCATTAAAGTTTAGGTGCACATAAAAACACACGTAGACACACTCGTAGAGTACTGTTTGGTAATGGCCCCCAGAGTAGCAAGGTAAATTCGCTCATGCAGAGCCCTCTGCTATTGTAGCTAGACTATTTCTGGAACAAGAACTGCTTCTTAAAATGAGTTTTGATCTCTATCATACACTATGCAGACATACCCTTGGACAAAGGGCAATTTCTCTCCAACCTAGTCTACCCTGCCTCTGCTGAGCCCAAGTAGTATGGAGGAAGAAGCAGTCTGAGTGGCTAGTACAGGGGACAAGGACCAGATCTTGGAGGAGCAGACACAGAAGGAGTAGAGTGGGACCAGGGAGTGAAGGGGATAGGGAAACAGGACAAGAATCCTGTTGGGATAACATAGGGAGACGGACATGGACCCAGCATTAGGATGAAGAGTGAGATCAGAAGTTACCTTTTATGCTGTATAAAAGGCTACTAAATATGAGACCTGGGATACAGATAAGTTAAATTTGCCCTAGGGCACTTTCATATTGCTAGTCTTCACATTTTACGCAAAATATTGAGGTACTTGACTAAAACTTTGTATCAAGTCAAAATTCCCTTGTATTTTCAAGAAGGCTGTAAGAATGACTTTGAAGTTTAGTTCTGAGTTTTTAATTAACATGTAAACTACATAGCAGCTTACCATTTCAACAACTTCCACCTCAGCATTCAATCGAAGATGATACAAAAACATCTGAAGATCCTTTTTCATTTGAATACTGTTGTCATCCATCTGGGCTACAGTGAAAATACGCATTTTACATTTTCTCCAAACCTACACAAAAGGGAAATAATGTTATATAACAATGAATAAATTCCATTTGCTCCTCTTGCTCATCACTCTTCAAGAGAGTTAAGCATATAAGAACTTATTATTTTGAAAGATGGTCAAATATGCAGATATTTCCTTCTGTCTACAAGTTAGGCACCTACTTAATTTACGATTTCACGGAAACCGTGAAATCCAGAGTTGTCTGAAAAAAAACCCAAAAACAAAAAAAAAAAACCCCACACCAACGAAAAAACTTAATAAAAATAAGATTCTGGCTCCCCGGGGGGAGGCTCTCCACTAATCAACACTGAGGGGCAAGGCTTCATGAAGGGCAGCCAGCAGTCAAGATGGCAGGGTCCTCTCATCTCCCACCCCCCTCAGGGTCTCTCTGCCAATCAACGCTGAAGGGCGAGGCCACTGCAAAATGACCATGGAATTAGAACTGAGAGTCAATCAACCTGCAAAAAATGCTGTTTCCCGGCAATTTAGGTAGGCCCCTACTTATAGTGGGGACATTTGAGAGACCAGACTGGGTAACAGAATGACTGAATTACCTGACTAAAAAAAATAGAAGCAAGTCTCAAGCTTTGTTCATGCAGTAGGTGAATATAAAATTCTGCCCCTAGCATTCACTGGCTGTACATTTTTCTAACAAGAGTTCCTCCCTAGAACATCTGCCGTACCTTGTGCTGTCGAATCAGGAAAGGAAGCAACATCAGCATCCCGCCATCATGAACAATCCACCACACATCTATGTTCCCTTCAGAAAAGCGCTCTTGATTTGCTGGAAACAAATCAATGTTTTTGGCAACCAGCAGAGCTTGCTGTGCTGCTGTCGTTTCACGTACAGTGTCTGTAGAGAAAACAAACAACCACAAAATAGGATATACAACAGTGTGAATGAAAATTGGGAGTCCTTTAAGGTAAGTTTATACACAGGCTAACATTTCTTAACTGAAAAATGGGCATTGTTTAAATCACGAGCTTAAAGTTTCGGCTTTTACATCCATACTTAATAAATGGGGGGGATTTGGGTTTTTTGTTTTTTTTAAAGGAGTGCAGAGTAAAAACAAGTTCTCATGGACCTCAACTGAATCACTTTTAAATTACTATTTTGAAATCTCTCAGCCATAAAAGAACTAATAGATAGATTAGATACCTGGAAAAATGAATGTAAGATCTATGCATCTCAGAGTTGCATAGCATCACTAAATAGCATTAATGCAATATAATAGCGCTAAAGTGATGTAGCTGTAAAGGCCCAGGAAATATATAAGATCCAATGGCAAATTTATTTACACGTGGAGTTTTATGCACACTATTGCTCTATTTGCTACTTAGCTCAAGCTGCACCTGCTTTTTTTTCCCCCCCTCAGACCTGAGGAAGAATACTTTATGCTCAAAAGATCATCTAAAAAATCTTTCCCAATGATGTTGGTCTGATGAAAGATATCTCCCAAAATATCCTTGCCTCTTGCATACATGGTTAATTTTAGTAGAAATATAGAAAACTAAAGCAGTATATACCAACAAAGTTTCTCCATGAAAATGGATTATCTGTGAGCTTCCATGACTGTGGCCATGCCATCAGGACTGTATTATGCTTCATCCCTCCGAGACCAGCAGACTGAATTAAATGGGAGACTCCATCTCTCAAACTTGGAGACACCACAATCTGGCAGAATCCCTTTGTTTTTTCTATTGCCATTAAGGATTTAACATTCTATAAAAATAAGAAAGGGAGGATTACACATGGAGATACCTTTAATTATGAATACAACAAGGAATCACTGTATTAAGAACTAACATGATACGCTGTAAATTATCTGACTTCCGGAAACAGTTCCTTAATCCTGCAACCCAATAAACAAAAAAGGCACTGTGATATGCGATAAAATATTAAATTATGTTGTCCTTAATCCCCACTATGAATAGAGGAGAAGTAGCACAGTGTTTGAGAACTCTGCCTAACTCAGAGATATACTGTGTTGAAACCCAGAGGCATTCCGGCCTGGGTTTTAACTCTGGCACTTACCGTAAGAAAATTATCATGCGTCCACTCAGCTGCAGATTTGACTTTGGCTCTAGACAGCTGCAAACTCATCAACAAGACCTGGCACATGATGTGTGCTTGACTCTGACCAGTTCCCCGCAAAGAGGAGGAAGTCTGGAAATACCATGTCTAGGTGGCCAAAATCAAAACAAGAAATTGGCCAACTACAAGAAGAAAATTTTGCTTGAGAACAGAGGAACAAGCAGTAGCAAGACTTACTCCCACCTAAGAATGAAAAAGATTACCCAAGACTGGAAAATTCCAGTGGAGTTTAATCATATATGGCAAGCGGAAGCAGGCTTATTAATGTGCATTAAAGGGAATGGCTTAAGCTAATTATATGCTAAGAAACTTGGTAAAGAGAAGGTATATAGGAAAAGGAATTGGAACCCCGCCTGGAACACTTCTGAAGACCAGAGGAGATGCAGTCATCCATCTAAGATTCTACCCTACACAGAACTCAGATGTAGGAGCTGGGAGCCCCAGACAAGACCTCCTGGCCTGATCAACCAGTAGCATCGTGTTCATTATATCTGAGGGTGGTGAGCATGTTGTATTGCTTTTGACTAACTAGTGTTAGAATTGTAATTGCTAAGGTTGTTCTGCTCTTGACTTAGAACTGTAACTGTTAGGATTCAATTCATTTGCTTAAGACATGGTTGTCCTTAACTATAGTCTCTATACCTGGTAAAGAGACCCAGAGCCTCACTGAACATAACCATTGGGAATGCTTTGCACTATTATTACTGGCCATTATTAGTGTAACCTTGTTGACTCATGAAGGTGTGTGGGGTGGTACTGGATCCCTAGCTGTTTTAAATGGGGTGGTAGGAGATAAGCACCTTTGAAGAAAGTGCCTGAAGTCAAGTGCTCAAGAAACATCTTGAACACTGACAGTTTGACAACCTTTTAACCAGGGTCTGACCTTCTGAGAAAAAGGTCACTGAGAAACTACAACAAAATGAATGGTTCCAAGGAAAGAACAGAACACTACACTGATGCTCTCCTATCTGATATGGAGAGCATATCTTAGCTGGTTATTCTTGGGTCTGTCAGCAGGTTTTCATGCCACCCATTCCGTTGACTTGTCTGCAGATGGCAGGATGGATGGCAAGGAGCTTACAATGGGTGCCTCTAGTCTGATCTTTCTGAAAGAATCCACAATAGCTGTACTTGTCCCACTGCCCATGGGATCTCTCTAGGAGAATGCAAGCATTATACCATCACTTCTTTCTCTACATGATTTTGTTTTAAATGCAATAAAAAAAATCTCAGAACAAATTAAGTTTTTATACAATATATAAAATCAACTATATACAAATTGCAGATTTCTGTCACAATAATAAAATGGGAAAAGAAAGAAAAAAAAAGAGGACGAAAGAGGGAGGAACAGAGTCAGAAAAATGGGAAGTAGGTAAAGGACTAATATTTTAATTAACAAAATAATCTAAGAATTCTTTCCAAATTGCATTTAAAAGTTTAAAGTTGTTACACCTGCTAAACATGACACTTCATAGATACCAGCTGTGCCAAATATCCAATTACCAGTGGGCGCACATGTCTCACAAGATAACCACTCTCTCTCCAATCTTTCAGGTATAATTCTCAAAGGGAATTTACAAAGCACCTTTCGCAGATGAGCTTATGAACTTAACTTCATCAGTCTACTGGATACAGAAAATCATGGACGAAGCAGACAGTGGATTTATGGCACATTATAGCCTGCCTACAATCTGATACCCCAGGTAACCTCTCTACATTTCACCAGGTCATCCCCCCCCCTCCACAAAATGTCTCACACCTATTGTCTATCCTCACTGCTATGGATTTCCATTTTCACAGACCTGCATTTTTACATAATGGCTTCTATCCTCACCCAAGAGAACACAAAACAACTGTAAACTCTCCCTCTGCCTGAAGATGGGTGTTTGTACCCAAAAGCTCGTGAAGAACAATTTTTCCAACTATTTAAGTTGGTCTAATAAAAATATATCACATTTACCAAAAGAGCCTTATCTGCTTAGAGGTGGAATAGATTAAGCCTTAAGACCAAACTGGTCAGGCTCGAGGGCAGTGGTATGGTGAAAAAGATGCTGAATTGGCAAGAAATAGCACTGCATTTCATGACTGGACCAGGCAACACTTCCTCCAGTAGCTGGAAATAGAACTCTACTCCTCCAAACCTCACATACTGGGAATTAGCAAATCCCTAACAGCAAACCACAAGTGGAAACAGCAATGAGAGGGGGAAAGGGCATATCAAAGGGATGTTTGTTCAATGGATATACGTACCAATTGGTGATAAAAACAAAGTGAAAAACTAGATGCAAAGATACTGCCAAGGAAAGTGTTTTATATACTATTTGTACAAAGATATGGTTGACTGCTTTTTTGTTGCATTTTCCCCAAACTAATGCTGTGATCCCTGCTTTCCTATTAATACAGTTTTGTTTTGGACACTGATTTGGTGCTTGTGAGATGAAGTATTGCCAGACTGGGGCCCTAGGGAAAATATTTAGGTTGTGTGGGGACACAAGCCAGTGTATTTTCAAAGTATAAAAATACACACACATGTATATTTGAACCCTGTCAGGGGTTCCCAGACTTTGAATGACATTGAGTATAAACCTTGTAATTAACTAGCACCTGATGAGGAGGTACTTATTTTGTCATATCTGCCCTGACTCAGTTCCCCAAGTCTTTCCATAGCCTGTTCTCAGTTGTTTTGCCTCCTTGTGTCAATAAATTTAATCATCTGAGGAAACACATTTAGGTCTAATTCTTTTGCACACTCCCGATGGCCTCTGATTTCCTTTCCATTTCTCCCAGGGCCAGGCTACACATAGCAGTCATCCTTGGTGCTCTAATGGACTGACCAGCACACAAGCAACAAAACTGAGTGCAACAGACAAACTGAAAACAGGTTTGGGCAAGCAGTATATTGCCTTGGCCTGTGGCAAGGTCCCAATTAAGTAGCATAATGCCTGGCTGTACAGCAGACCCTGAATGATTCATATATTCAATTAGGGACAAGTCTGCCCAGGTGTTTGCCACAGCTGTCATTTTGAACCAGACCCTTTCCCCACTCAGCTGGAATTCAGGAGCAGTTCTGCACAGCTGAGCAGAGAAGTGGAGGCTTTTGAAATAAGTGATTCTGCACCGCCCATTTGCTGTGGCTCTGTATACCCAGGTTACTTCACAAACCCTCCTCTTTTTAGGAGGGTAAGAAACCTAACCACACAAAGAATATGGCTCCACTTATGCTAGGGGTCATTGTAAAGGGAAGGAGCAAACCGCAACCATGCATATGGGTTAAACTTCTACTGGAAGAATCACTGGTCTCCTAGTAGAAATTGCCAGCATACAGGCAGTCACTGTTTCTTATGAAGGAAACATGTCTCAACTGTCAAAAGTCTTCTACCACAACACCTGGAAGATCCTTCTTATGAGACACTCTCTCACTAGAGTGAACACCTGTACACTTGACAACTTTGTGATCAGAAGTAGTCATTGGGCAGCAGTCTTCCCCAGACCACAGTGACCCCGGTGCATGGAAGGAGTCAAGCTGCTGCTCTCAGCCCTCCCCAGACTGGGGTGACCTAGCCTGGGAAAGGTGTCAGGAGCAGTTGGGGGGGGGGGGGGGGGGGCAGGGGTGGATATCTGAAACGTTTGTATGTTCCCTCGCTTGGGTAGAGCTGAACACCTGTTCATGGCCATCAACAGCTGGGGAATAAGCCACCACACTGCAAAAAATCACAACAGGAGCCAATTTGTGGAAGATGAACTGCTCCAAGATGAAAATTTCTTTTCTTCAGCCTTGGGTCCTCTGCAGAGATACTACCTCACCAGGCTGAGAAACACTGCACAAGGATAACAGAGTACTAGATCCCAGTAACGTTTCAAAACGAAAAACAAAAAAAAACCAAACCTCATTAAACTGAATGGATTAAATTAATTTAAAAGCTACAATTATTCTTAGCTTGAGAGATCTATTCAGTTTTATGTAGTTTTCAAACAAACTTTTTAAATATGTATTTGTTGTTTTGCTTGAAAAGCTCCACCGAACGAAAGATTTATGGATTACCAGGGTACCTATAATTGATAATTATATTTCTCTCTGTGAGGTTATTCTGGACTTCTATTTTAGGTTCCTAGTGTTGCTTCAGTTAGAAGAAAACCAAAAGGAAAGAAAAAAGGAGAAAAAAAAAATCAAATTAACCATGTGCTATAATGATTTTGAAGTCAGTTCTTTAGACTGTTTTTTTATGAAAACTCGGTTTCAATTATAAAACCATAACAGTGATTAAGGAAAAAAACCAGATAAATCAAAGAATAAAAAACCACCAGAGGCCCACCTGCAGTGAAGTTCAATGACTAATGATCACTTGCTTGGAAATTCAATTTATTCCTTTCAAGTGAGACATGAATTAATCATTCAGTACAGCTACAGAGGAACAGGAAGAATGCCAGATGAACTTGCATTTAGCTGCAGGAGGTACCAATCTCTCCTGAAGTCTAACACTAGGATACTATATACAGATATCCAGACTGCAGTGCTCATTAGAAGTAACTTGATGCCTTTGCAGTACATTACAACTTCCTGGACTACTTTAATCAGTATAGAATTGACAGCTAATTCTCACTGGGGCCAGATGAGCATTATTAAAAAGAATAAGAACAACTGCAAAACACCACAACATGTGATGCACATAAGTCACCAACAATCAAGCAGCTCTTAGCTTTTTTGTGGTGCTTTGTTTGACACCAGAGTTAGAGGGGCAATCTACCGCTTACTGAATGTTAAATCCAAATGAAGTAAGCCCTCTACTTAGGAAAGCTTGTGCTGTACGTCTGTGATCTAGTTAGTCTATAAAAGGTGCAGATTTACCCTGCCTTCTGCCTGACTTCACACTAACATGGTTAACTACCTCTCTCAAATCTTGCTTTGAAAGGACAAGTCTCTTTCATTCTAGCGCTTGGCATCATTTTGTTGGCATAAGTAGTCCAGGACCTGGTCCTACATGGCCAGCTGACGATATGCCCAGGACAGAGGAGGATTCACTGAGCACATTAACCATGATTGGTTCTTACTTGACTCAGGCCAAACCACAGCATTTCTGACAGTCTCCAGAAGATAATGAACAATTGCTCCCGACTCAGCCACACCCTGAATCATACTTCGCAGTTCCTTATTTGGCCACCTCTCTTGTCTAATTACATACACGAGGCCTTTACATGCAAAATATGATGCTTTTAAGGCAGCAAGGCCACCTTAGTTTAACTGCACTCAACTAGTGCAATAACACAATTTGAGGAGGAAGACCCACCCATCTTGTGTTTTAACAAATTTTCAGAGGCTTTGGCAAGTTGGAATAACATCATGCCTGTACGTTTAAGCCCACTTACATGCCCAATTGGTGGAAAAGAAACTGGCCCCAAGAGTGCTTCTTCTATAGGTATCTGGCAAATGCAAATCTCGTAACTAAGGTTAGATTACCAATATGTTAACATTGATCTGAAATTAGGGCTCTAACTGAGCAATGAATAAAGTATTATCAAGAAACTTAAGCCAAGCAGAGAATCATAAAGTTTATAAGTATGTAGGGCCGTGTCCAGACAAGCGCAGATGTGCAGTATGTAGTGCCACAGACCTGTCTGCGGCACCACAAACCACATGTACAGAAGTTCCCCGTACTGCTACCTCGCAGTGTGGGGTTTTTTTGATCCTGGGGTCTCCCAGGGTCAAATATTCATGCCAAAAATGCTCATGCACACTGCCCCAAAACAGAGTCTGGTCAGCCAGAGCCATGCTCTTGCTGCTGGCCAGGTTCCCAGCTACAGGAGTGCCATGGCTGCAGCTCCCTGAGGCTCCCAGGATGCCAGGTAAGGCTCCCCCCTACCATGGCCAGGATAACCTGCAGAGGGCACATGCCATGGGCATTCCCTGAGGACAAGCAGCAGCAGCACAAGGCGTGCCACTGCTACGTGTCCCTGGGGAAACAAACATTCATAACTGTGTGGACGCAGCCCAGGAGGCCATCCAGTCTATAGAATGCACACAACCTTTGCAATATACATGTCACTATAGCAGACAAAAATTAAGTACTAGGTTCTGTTGTGTCTGTAAAGACTATATAAACTTCTGTGGCATTCTGAAAGTGTTGGGGGGGGGGGGTTGTTTTTAATTAAAGAATTTAAAACTTTGTATGACATGTTTCATGAAGCACCCTACTATATAAATGTCCTTTATTACAGTTTTTGCTTAGATGTGTATTCCATGTGCATGGCAGGAGGTGAGACTGAGATCGTGCATTAGATCCCACTGCACCTTATCAATGGTGCAGGGGGAGCGCGGGATCACAATGTGGGCTGAAGGGCTCATAGTGGAGGCAGCAGAGAGAACGCTGTCCTTGCTGTGAACCTCGTAAGCTGCAGGTCCTGCAGCTAAGAAGGTCGCAGGTCAGGGGGAGCATTCTCCCTGCTGCAAGCCCCAAAGCTGACAACACTGCAACCATTGTGATCCTTATCAGCTGTGGGACTGGTAGTGAGTGGTGTACCCCTGTGGCTGGGCACCCCTCAGTTGATGGACTGGGCTCCCAGCCACAGGGGAGCACTTGGCCACTTAATCAATTAATGGCATGATTAAAATAAGCTACAAAAAGTTTTTGCACATTTCTGCAGAAAAACTTTGTAGGTTATTGTTTGTTTTATCAAGCCATTAATTGGTTAAACGTGTAGCTGGGTTGCAATGCAAGGAGTGATTACTTGGTTAATAACAAGAAGTTAAGTGTAATACATAGAAGGGCCTATATGGACTATAAGCCCCAAAACAATATTGGTATTGCAAACTGTCTTTTACATACCTCTTCAGCTTTTTGAACTTCTACACATTTATCCAAGTATATTCCTTGAAGGACAGATCCTACAATGGTCAATCCTTTACCAGCCTTCAGCTGAGAAGTGAAAGAAAGCAATCTAGGGTGCTTAACCAGCTGTTCCGAATCCAAATTCAACAAAACTAAGACTTGAGGCCTGTGGTATAAAAAAAGTGTCAGGAAAAGAACCAGAAAATTAGCATAAACACAAAAATTAGCATGAAAACATTTGCATGCTTGGGAGTCTACTTAACACATGCAGAGGTAAAGCAAAAACAATCATGGCCTGCTCACAGCCTCGGCATCATTTTTGTGGTGAGCCCCCCCCTCCCCCACATCTCCCCTTAGCCCCACACTAATTGGCAGAGGGGCCCTAGAAGCCTCACTGCTAATTGGTGGAGAAGGCAGGGGCCACACAGAAGGCATCCCTCTCTGCTAATTAGCAGTGGAGAGGAGGGGGCAGACACCATCTTGGCTGCTCCCCTTCATACTGCAACCCTGTTCATGACCCTTGCCCCCCACTCACAGAGCCCGGGCTGTCAGCAGCTACCCAGAACCTGGGCCAGCTGCAAACATCTGCTGCCTCTCCACCCAGGCTCTGGCCCCAGCTGCCTTCCAGCCCCAGCCCCGAGGAGGCAGCACATAACAGCAATGCCTCCCGCTGTGCTGCCCTCGCCACTTCTGCAAACCAGTGTTGGAACCTGGTACAGCAGGGCACAGTGGGTGGGGAGCAGAAAGCTGCCTGCTCCCAGTTCCCTGCTGCCCTGCCACACTTCCCCTGCAGGTGGGGGCAGCAGCAAGGGGCACAATCCTGCACTGCTGCCCACGCTGCTCCCATGCACACAGGGGAAGTGTGACAGGGCAGCAGGGAACTCAGAGCGGCAGGCAGCTTTCTGAGCCCCCCGCTGTGCCCTGCTGCGGGTTCCAACACTCCTTTGCAGAAGCGGCGAGGGCAGCACAGTGAGGAGCACTGCCGGTATGTGCTGCCTCCCTGGAGCCCAGGGCCGGGTCTGGGGTGGAGAGGCAGCAGGTGTTTGCAGCTGGCCCAGGTTCTGGGTAGCTGCTGATAGCTGTAGAGCCCAGGCTGCTCCCAGCAGGGCTTGCAGCATCTCAGGTGCCTGCTGGCAGCAGCCCAGGCTCCCAGCTGGCACCAACTACCCAGAGCTAGGGCCGGCTTGTAGCTGGGAAACTACTAACAGCTGCTGCCTCCCCAGCCACAACGTGTGCCAAGGAAAATGGCCTCACTTGCCCCGCTCAGCATGTGCGCCAGGGGTTGCCGACCCCTGATCTAGAGTAAGGTTAGTAACAAATATCTTAAAATTCTCCACTATATAGAAGTTTGACTCTGCCTGATCACTTAAATTAACTCATTTTGTGTTTCGCATCGCACCTGAAAAGATTTATTTTACAGCTATCAAACTATTAAAAAACCATGATTGCAATTAGTTGCGTGATTAAAAAAAGAGTTGCAATTAATCATGATTTTAAAAATCACACAGCTAAAAACTCAAAATTATGCACTAAAAAATTAAAAGACATAAAATCATGCAAGACCTCTGTATGGTTGGGGGGGGAGTGTAGGGTGTGTGCGTGTGTGGCAGGGGATTTGTGAAGGTGTGGGGGGCTGTGGGTATGCGTGCGAGTTTGGAGCCCAAGGAAGTGGGGGGGGCCCCCTGCATACTCTCATAGGACGTGGGGTACTGTGGGTCAGGATCGAGAGGCAGCAGCAGGGCTGGGGGGCTGTGGCTTAGGTGTGAGGGGCAGACACACAGCACCCAGAAGCTAAGTCTGTGGAGGGGGAGGGGCAGATCAAGGCCCCCACAGCAAGGAAGGGAGTGGGGCAAGGTCAGGGACAGGGCAGGATGTGCAACTGAGCCACAGGAGACTCGTCCAGGAGCGTGGGTGGGAAGGGATACGGCTCCCCATTGCTGTGCGCACCCCCAGGGGAGGCATGGGGGGCATGCGCACCCCCAATTTGTGCATGGGGCAGAGGCGGGCTGCCTGCTGCAGGCTGGAGTGCTACACCCTGTTGCCTTTACTCCAGAAGCCATGGTGGCCAAGCAGCATGTTGTGCCTCCTGCAGCCAGGCAGGTGAGGGGGGCACAGCATGGCCAGCATGCAACTCCCAGGGCAGAGGCAGCAGGGTGCAGAGCCCTAGCCTGCAGCAGGCAGCCCGCCTCCGCCCTGCACACACACACACC